GCCAGGCCTGTCACCGAGGGGTGCAGGATTGCACCCCCTGGACGCCAGGACTGTGAGCAACCGGGCAGCACCAGCCCCGACCTGCGGGAACCCTCGTCCGAGTGCCGGAGCACACGGATTTTTTGTGCCCAAGAAACAGAAAGATGAGAAATTGCAGGGAGATCTGCGCTAGTTGTTATGACATGCAGTAATTAATCATTTCTGATGGTGTTTCGAGCTGTACGTACCCAGGAAGGCAGGCGGGCGGCTCGGCCGGTCACCGAGGGGCATGTTGAAGGTGTGTCCCGTGGCCAAGAGCCCAGCAGGGGCCAGGGGTGACCCCCAACCCTGGCTGATGCCTCTTGGCTTGTGGTTAACGCCAGATTATTTTCTTTAAGAGGCATTTTATCAATTTCATGTAGGGAGCGATCATTTTTAATCAGCGCATTAAAGAAATGTGAATTATTATCATTATATTGGTGTGAAAGGGGGGCCTGGTGTGCTCTATACAACTTTTGGCTGCTGGATCCAAGGGGGAATGGCACTGGCAGACCCTGCTCGGCTGCTGCACGGCGTTTACGTGGCGTAACCAGTAGTCACCAGGAAACATTCGTTAGCCCAGACAGACATATTTCCACCCGTGTGTCTCCAGGAGCCCTTTTCGCAGTGGGGGTGCTCAGCCTGGGGCCAGGCTCCGGGGTGTTGGCCCCGGCCGTGTCGCTGGGCGGTGGGACACGCTCAGAGCCGCAGCGTCCAGCCTCTCCCCGAGGGGAGGGCGGCACTTCTGATGTGTCCGGGGGCCTCGGCCGGTTGTTCCTGAGCGCGGCACATCTTCGCTCAAACCGCTGCTGTAGAGCAGCTGGAACTCTGCAGGCAGCTGGTGGGACTCCTGCCACTTGGTCGTGAACTTGGTTCCCTTCTTATCATAGTAGTGGTACGGGAGGTCCTCCCTCGTGTTGGGGTCGAACCCGAAGGGCCAGAATCCGTACAAGTGGATCTCTTCACATATGGCAGAAGCAAGGGTGTACATGAGAATACCTGTGCTCAGCCGCTTGGGTGACAAGTGTTTGTTCTTCCAGTACCTGCGAAAAAACATAGAGACTTGTTAGTCTGGAGCGGGGGAGAGGAATGCCACAGGTTTGCTGTAAGGAAAAAATAATGTTACTGCTCAGAGATGGTGCTGAGAGCCTGGGCGTGGCAAGGGCTTCTCCTCGGGCCGGTCTGTGAGGAGCGGGAGCGCAGAACGCCCCTGGCAGCACCCTGACCCCCAGTCTCTTGTGTCCCCCTCTGAACGGCTCTGGGTTTTGGCCAGGAGACGTAGTGCCTTACCCAGCCAGGTACGATCCCCTGGCTCCGCTCGCACTCGCTAAAGAGAGGCAGCCTCATCCTGCTTTGCGGTGCTGCAGTTTTCCTCGGAGCAGGCGGCAGCTCCCGTGAGCGGGCTGGGAAGAGCACGCGCTCCAGACACGGTGCTCTGCTCCCGCCGTGCCTCCCTCGGCTGCCCCGCGCTCCTCCGGGCTCCGCAGCAGAGGCAGATCCCTGGCCCAGGACGGGCCCCCGGGCAAACAACCCCCTGCTCCTCCGCGCCGGGCCCACACCTGTGAGGAACCACCCGAAGGACTCGCTGAGGCCGTACCAAAGCTGCGTTTGCTCTAAGGCCGAGCAGGCTCGGGTCCTGACTCACTAGACGGTGCCTACCAGGTCAGGCACAAACAGGAAAACCAGTTGTGTTTGTACAGAGACGTGTTTGGGCAAGCTAAACGCCAGGCAGAGACACACACCTGTTAACATGCTGCATGATGTTTCCTGGCCAAGCCAGCTGGACCTTCAGTTGCCCTCTGTGCTCAACAAAGAAGTCAACCAGCGTTCTCGTGACCGTCGCTGACGTGTGGAAGAAAAAAGCGGGGATCCAAAGGATGGCCCCGTCGAGCTTTTTCAGGCTTAAGAAGAAGTTGTTGCGATCCTGAATGGTCAGAAGGTTGTTGTAATACTTTTCCAGGATGCTGGGGTTGAAGGTCGTAAGATTGGTTTTCTTTCCAACATCTTTTTGGAAAGCCTCGGTTGGAGCAAAATTGCAACGAAAAACAAAATCAGATTTATCTATTTCTTGCCCGCACTGACTCCCGGTCAGGATCCCGCTGTTTCCAACCACGGCGCAGATGTTGTAATGCTTGTTCAGGATGGGCGACACGTCGGGAAGCAGCGATCGGAAGTTATTGCTGATAGAGAAAACGTACTTGTGGCTGGAATAGTCGTAATGCATCAGCTGCCCGATCCGAACGCTATTCTTGGTCAAAGAAAAATTTTTTATTACATCAACGTGCTGAAGGATTTCTTGC